TCAACAGCTGAATAACAAGTGAAGGGATAACCTATAATGTGACTAAATGAGGCAGAGAGATAATTACAAAAACTTAAGAATAAGATTATGCTGGAGATAAATCAAATGACTGGAATAACATGATAGGTATAAAGTCACATGCCGAGGGTCTAACCAAGTAATAAGTAATCCAAAACTGTACAAACTAATTAAGGTAGAGAGAGCAAAACAATTTGTCAAGGTGATGGTTCATTGTTCATAGAGTCCCTACAGTGTGGAAACAGGCCATTCAGCCCAACAAGTCCATACTGCCCTCCAAAGAGCTTCCCACCCAGACCCATTCCCCTACCCCTGCATTTCCATGTCTAACCTGAAGCAGTAACCTAACCTAAGCATCCCTGGACACTATAGGCAATTTAGCATGGCTAATCCACTTACGCTGCACATCTTTGGATTGTCGGAGGAAACCAGAGCACCTGGAGGAAACCCACGCAGACACAGGGAGAATGTGCAAACTCCACACAGACAGTCGAACGTGGGTCCCTGGCGCTGTGAGGTAGCAGTGCTAACTAAAACAGACAGTAAGGAAGATTTTACAGGTATAAAGCAGTATCGTGGCTCACATGTAGGGCAACATGAACCCAAGATCACAGCCGAGGCCATCTTCATGGGTACAGAACTTGGCTGTTAGTTTCTGCTCGGCGATTCTGTGTTGCTGAGTATCTTGAAGGCCGCATTGGAGGACTCTTACCTGAAGATTGAAGCTGAGTGTCCTTGACCGCTGAAGTGTTCCCTGACTGGGAGAGAACATTCTTGTCTGGCGATTATTGAGTGGTGTCCATTCATCTGTTGTCATAACGTCTGTATGGTCTTGCCAATATACCATGCTCAGGGCCCCATCACACTGTTCTATATCTGTAAAATCTTCCTTACTGTCTTGTTTTGACACCATAACCTTGATAAACTGTTATGATATCTCTACCTTAATCAGTTTGTACAGTTTTGGATTACTTATTACTTTGGTTAGACACTCGGCATGTCACTCTTATACCTATCATGTTATTCCAGTCATTTGGTTTATCTCTAGCACCACCTTATTTTTAATCTTTTGTAGTTATCCCTCTGCCTCATTTATTCAGATTATAGGTCATTCCTTTGCTTGTCATTCAGCTGTTGACACTTTACTCACACTGTCTAACATTTTTGATCACCTGCACAGACGTATTACTTGACACCCCACTCACACCATTTGTATGATCTTTTGATCTCTCTGCCCATAAATTCTGTGTTCTTTATGCTTCTCTGTCACTTCACCTGATTAAGGGCCTATAATCTGAAAGTTTGTAATTTCAAATAAACCTGTTGGTTTATAACCTGGTGTCGTGTGACTTCTGACTTCATCCACCCCAGTCCAACACCAGCATCTCCTCATCATGGCTAAGTCAAAAGTGTGATGGAATACAACTGACATGCTTCAGGAATACAACTGAAACAACATTTAACAATTTCAACTCCATCTAGGACAAAGCACGTTTTGGTACTTTGGGCTGGCAACCAATACATCAGCTTCAACATTTGTTACATCCACCATAGGCACACAGTTGTTGCAGTATATACCATATACAAGATACATTGAAGCAACTCATCGTGGTTTCTTAAAAATCGGCTTTCAAACGTGCGGCCTCTAAGGCCCAGAGCAAAAGGTGAAGTAGGTGCATTAGAACATTTACAAGACACACCATCTTGACTTAGAAATTATCAGCATTATTCAATCTTATTGAATTAAAATCCTGGAGAATCCCTTCCTATCCTGCGCTATGTGTACCTAATCCAGATGGACTGGAGCAGTTCAAGAAGGTAGTTATTCACCACCTTCTCAACAGAAATTAAATATGAGTGGTAAATGCCAGCATTGCTAACAATGCCCATTTCCCAAGATTGAATTAATTAAATTAAATGCTCCCTGAGCACTCTAGGCAGACAGCTTCCTGCTGAGAGTCCTTTAGCCCCATCTTCTGCTCCCTCATCAAAGTGTGTTTACCTGTGTGATCTCTGTTGATTCAGTTGATTAAAGGATGGCAGATGTGTTGAAAAGTATTTAAAAATTAGTAGATGTAGTGGGAGGGCGTAGTACAGTTAAGTCAGTTGTTTAGATGGCTATCATGTGGATCAGAATAATGAAAGCAGTATCACGTTCGACCCCCATTCTGGATGAGGTAGGTTTGGGATATGCCTTCCTGCCCTACATGTGGTAAAAATCATGTAACTTTATATGCAGAAAACTGAAGAAGAAGAACAGCGCTTATTGGAAGTAGGAGCATGAAATACATATAAATAATTAAGGGGGGGAGGTTTCTTGGATAACGAATATCAGCCACTTATTGAATGTTATCACATGTAGATGACATAATTGACTAATTAAACAATTTAATGCATATTTCATTACCAAAACTTTAAATAGATCAACAGTGAGGCCATAGGTGGAAGATTGTATGTGATTTTGGGACACCCATCTTCAAAATGATACTTGTATGTTGAAGTGAATTAGCGATTTCCACTCATGGGCCCCACTTGGGGGTCTCCCGAGCGCACTCTGGGAAGTCACGCCTTAAGAACAAGGGAGCCAAGGGCTGAAGCTGCAGATCAGTCCAGTCCTCCAGTTGGACGGGTTAGACCTGGGGGGAAATGCAGGCGTAGGTAATGGGTCTGGGTGGGATGGCTTCGGAAGGGCGGTGTGGACTTGTTGGGCTGAATTACCTGTTTCCACACTGTAGGGACTCTATGAAAACTCACGGTGATGCTGAGAATTAGATATAAATCATGACAGATTAAAATTATGTGAGATTGAGATAATATGGATATAAGAGGGGTTAAACTAAGGAACAAAATACAAAGACAAAGTAGTGGATATAGGTACATGCTCTCAGCAATGTCAATAAAGATAATGCAAGTTCCCTTTTTTAAAGACAGAGATGGGTCAAGATGCAAATGAATATTAAAGAGATAAAAATAAAGGGCCTGAAATAATAACAAATTGCTCAACTTAGGCAGACGTGTCCCTTCATGTGACTTCAAAAATGATAAAGAGACTGAAATAGGGTCTGAGATGGCTCTTTATATTTATTGATTTAGTTAATATGACATTCTTACTGCCAACTTAGTTCAACTTTGAAATTCTAGAGTACCAAGCTGAATACTTGGTACCTGCAATCAGTAGCCCTCCCAGCTTTCAATTCCAACTCCTGAAAAGTAATTTATTAGGCAACATTAGAAATGAAAACTGCCTCTCTTACCAATTTCTTTTCCTGTACACCTCTGTAAGATGCTGACATCAGTCAAAGGTAGGCTTCTGCTATCTCCATCAAAGGACAATTTTCCTTAAGCATGACAAGATAACCTCGTATTTTTTTCCCCATCAAAACAACATTTTCCGTTGTGTATTGCAATTCCTTGGTTTGTTCTATTGTATACTTCTCTTCTATGATTCCTCCATTTCCTAATTTAAGGTGCTTTTGCATTTACACTTGTCAGCGAGTGTTATGAGAGATTAATGTTGTGAGCACCCCGTCTTTTTGCACCACTAATTATGGATCTGTTTGACATTGGTATATAATTTTGATGTTTAGGAAGATAGCCAGGTTTAATGATGCAAGGTTGCAGAGCTGGCTCGCAGATGTTTAATTCAGATTGTAAGACACTAACAAGTCGAAAACACCTTTAATCTTCAAATAGATGTTGTACTTTAACTATGACTCAATTTCCTCACATCTGCTTCCACTTTAATATTAGAGATTCAACTGCATGTGACTCTTACCTTACATTGACCAACACAAAATCAATTCCGGTTGTCTTGTGATGGGGATAGTAGGAACTGCAGATGCTGGAGAATCCAAGACAACAAGGTGCAGAGGTGGATGAACACAGCAGGCCAAGCAGCATCTTAGGAGCAGAAACTGCTTGGCCTGCTGTGTTCATCCAGCTCTGCACCTTGTTATCTCCGGTTGTCTTGTGAAAGGTTTTGGTTTAATGAATTGTTTGCCTCTACAATTTCGTTGGAAGTTACTTATTGTCACCAATGACTAATCATAAAATAATTTTAACCTAATTTTCCAAAATGGTAAATCTTCTAGAGATTACTATCTCTGAAATATATGCTCATTTGCAAAACCAACATTGGCTCACCTTCTACTCCTCATACTAGTTTATTCATTCTTTACTAAATCTTTGCACCTGCTAGACAAATCACTGCCCTGTCAGTGCTGTCTTTATCAGAGAAAAGACTACTGATAAACCTTATTAATAAGTATTATACTTTGAACATCTTTATCTCCTTTCTTGTACTGTTCGTTTCTCCCTGTCTTGCACATCTTTCACTGTCAGTGTGTATTCTATTCTAGAATGCAGCAGCATGATTCAACGCCCAATATCAAAATGGTCATTTGTTTTTAATAAAACCATTTAAATTGCTACAATGTTGTGTCAGCCATGGTAGTTTTGAGTATTACCTCAATTCCTGCTTAAGATTAATACAATAAATTTAAAACAGTTGTCCATAATATATTGACGACTAATTTACCACATACTGACTATCCAAAACCTCGAGAGACCCAGTGTTTAGTTACGTTAAAGGATGAATGTGTGTTAGTATATTATTGTAATTCAATCTATATGGATCAGTAGACTACATTAAAGTAAGCAAAGATAATAATCATGATCACTGCACTCGGCAACTTTTGGTAAGCCTATGCTCATGCAACAGCTTGTTCTAAAACTAGTTAAAGACTGCTTCATTGGTGTAACCCCTCCTGTTGAGTGAGAATATGCAATATTGTTTTCCTTCAGATGAATAAGAAGTTGAAATCTTATTATGGTCTCAATATGAAAACTTTCTTACAGAATAAGACTCGTCTCTAGGTTAAATTTAAATCAGCATCAACATTCTTCTTTGAAATTCATACAATTTTGGGTCCTTTTCATATATGAAGTATATGAAGACTAAAAAATGTAACAGAGGTTCTTACCAGGTTGATAATAGGGTAGGTATCCACCGTAGCCTCCTTGCCCTGAAGAAGAATAAGAATGTGAAAAATCCAATTATCATTAATAAGCTTCTGATGAGAAGCTTTATAAATTAATTTATCATTGAGCGGTATCAGGAGTAATAACCGTTTTATTTCAAATAGAAATCAATTGTATAGGATTTTTAAATGCATAAGGTATAGATTTGTTTACTCAATCTCTTCTCATGGGATGATGCCCTCATTCTAGGAACCTATATTGTGAACCTTTATTGCACTCCCTCTTAGGCAAATAGATAAGTAGGCCAAAACACCAGCCAGTTTTTAAAATATGGTTTTACCAATGCCCTGTAAATTTACACTATGATCACTTATATTGCAATTCCCTTTGTACCAAAGGCTAATAAACTACTTGCTTAACTTTTACTTACTTACTACTACTTATTCTGAATCCAAGGTAATACATACATATTTGTTCCCAATTTCATGAGTCCTAAATTTGCAAAATAACCTCAGGTTAGGGATACCTAGGAATCTTTGGAATACCAAATGTAGTATATTCAGTGGCTCCTCCTAATCCATGTTATTGGTCAAATCTTCAAAAACTGACCAGCTTTTTCGAAATAATATCCTTTTCATGTATCCGTGTGGTCTGTATTAATCATGTTATGATTTTCTAACTGTGCTGTCACAACATCCCTTAATAACAGAATTTAACATTTTTCCTACTAATTATAGGCTAACTGGTTTAAAGTTCTTAATTTTTTCTCTTCCTCCTTTCTTAAACGGGAGGGGTGTGGAGGTGAGTGGGTTGGTTATCTGTGTTACATTCTAATCCTTTGGAACTGATCATTTGATCGAAGGAATTCTGGAAGATCAAAAACAATGCATCAATGGAATCTGAAGGTACATCTTTTAAAAACCCCAGAATTCAGGTCATTAGATCCAATGGATTTGTCACCACTTGGTCCCACTAACACCTTTTATATGATTTATTGACCAAGACTTTGTTTCACTTTATTTCTGGAAGATACATGCAAAATATTTGTTTCATGCCTTGCTACTTCATTCTCCATTATAGTTTCGGTTGTCTTTGCCTCTAATCTCTCATTTACCATGATTTGCTTTCACTGATCTTTTACCATTACATATCTATGAAAATATTTACAGTTTGTCCCTTGCTGAACTACTCTTGTATTTTATTTTCCCTTTCCTCCTCAATTTCTTAGACTTAATTCACTGAATTTTAATATCTTACCAATCCTCAGGCTGTGCTCCATTTGACAACATTGTACCCTCTTTCCCCAATCCAATCATTATCTTTATCTCCCTTTGTTAATCACAGATAAACCATTTTATCTGAAAGGTACTGTGCATTATTGGAATGTATATTTGTTGCAAATTATGTATCAGTTCGTTAAATGACAGATATTGCTTATCCAGCAGCATATAACTTTTTATTCACTCGTGAGACGTGAGCATTGCTGGCTAGACAACATTTATTGCCTGTCCCTAGTTGCCCTTGAGAAGGTGGTGATGAGCTGCCTTCTTAAACCACTGCAATCCACATGCTGTAGGTTGCCCCACAATACCCTTAGGGAGGGAATTCCATTTGGTATAATTTTTCATTCTACCTTAACTAACTGTCTCTTCATAAGCATATATTTTCCTTTGCTTAGAGTTATACAAATTCAACTAAATTACTTTCAAACTCAATGCAAATGCATCATACTGTTAACATTTTGCCCTAGAGGTCCCTTTGCTAAAAGTTATGAATTAATCACTTCTCGTTTTGTAATACTACATAAGAACATAAGAAATAGGAACAGGAGTAGGCTATCTGGCCCATCGAGCCTGCTCCACCATTCAATAAGATCATGGCTACCTTTTTGTGGACTCAGCTCCACTTATGATACTAGAACCACAGTAATTTGTTTTCAAGCTGGTTCCTCAACATACTGATCTAGAAAAATATATTTTATGAATTACATGAAGCTGTCCTCCACAACCCTAATCTAAGTTTGATTTGCACAGTTTGTATGAAAATTAAAGTCCCTCATATTTCAGGTTTGGTCTCCTTTTCTGAGGAAGGATGCTGTTACTCTTGAGGGAGTGCAGCGAAGGTTTAACATGTCGATTCCGGGAATGGCGGGTCTGACGTATGACGAGGGATTGACTAGGTTGGGATTGCTTTCACTGGAGTTCAGACGAATGAGGAGGATCTCATAGGGACTTATAAAGTTCTAACAGGACTGGACAGGGTAGATGTAGGGAGGATGTTCCTAATGGTGGGTGTGTCCAGAACCAGGGGTCACAGTATGAAGATTTGGGTTAGACGATTTAGGATAGTGCTGTGGAGATATTTCTTCACCCAAAGAGTGGTGAGCTTGTGGAATTCATTACCACAGGAAGTAGTTGATGCCAAAACAGGTTACTAGATATAGTACTTGGGGTGAATAGAATCAAAGGTTATGGGGAGAAAGCAGGATTAGGCTATTGAGTTGGATGATCAGCCATGATCGTGAAGAATGGCTGAGCAGGTTCGAAGGGCTAAATGGCCTCCTCCTGCTCCTATGTATTGCCCTTCTCAAAGGCACTTCCAACTGCAAGATTTATACTCTCTATGATACTTCAATTACCATTAGAAGACTTATAAATAACTCTCATCAATATTTCCTGCCCCTTGCTGTTTCTTCTTTCATTATATGCCTAAGCTGATACTAATATCTGTAGATACTTGTCCTTGGTTTCTCTGGGTTCTGGGTGTCTGCACATTCATTGTGCCCAAGGCTCTTGGCTCCTTACCTTTAAGTAAGGCTCTTCCACTCCTGATGTACTGTAACATTCTTTTATTAACATCTGTACATTGCTGGTTACTAAATAAAACTCTCTAGTGTAGTGTTTAAGACCTGCTGTTTGCTTCTTCTAGTCCTATGTCTTCTCTTTTACCGATGCAAGAGTCACCTCATCATTACCTCCTCATCAACTGTAAATGTCCTACAATTTATATTACATTTCTTAGCTCAAGCCAAACTTATTCTACTTCTGTCTTTCCTGAGATAAGAAAACTACTCTTTTTTAGTTTTTCGACAGTTCCACCTGTTTTTCCATTTTTGCTCATTTTTTTCTTCCAAAAGACATATATCCTAGAATATTTAGTTCCCAACCTAGATCGTGTAACAGATTTGTTTCTATAATAGCTATTAGATCATAGAATCCCTACAGTGTGGAAACAGGCCCTTTGGCCCAACAAGTCCACACCGACCCTTGGAGCATCCCGTCCAGACCCATCCCCCTACACCCCACCTAATCTACACATCCTTGAACACTGCGGGCAATTTAGCATGGCCAATCCACCTAACCTGCACATCTTTGGACTGTGGGAGAAAACTGGAGCACCTGGAGGAAACCCACGCAGACACGGGGAGAATGTGCAAACTCCACACAGACAGTTGCCCAAGGGTCTATTGGATCAAACCCATTAATTTCTATGTGTGGTATTAATTCATCCAACTTGTTGCAAATAGTTAATGTAATGAGGTACAATGTTTTTTTCTTAGAATTATTGATTTTACTTGATATCACCTTAGTTACCAATGCCTTGTTATCCTTAGTCTCATGATCTCTTCTAGCTAACTCTATTTAATTTTTACCCAATATTCTGCTCTTCTCTAGAGCCTTGATATTTCCCTTACTGATTTTGAATGAATCCTTTGCCACCTCCATTTTATTAGTTTAAAGCATTGCCAACTGCCTCTGTATTCAAATCTCCAGAACATGCACTATGTCATGGACACCATGGAAACTGAATCCTCCCCCTCTTGCTTCAAGTTCTTGTTCAGACTAGAGGAGACATCTTTAACCCTGACAAAGGATAGACCATACAACCTCAGGAACTCCCAGTCTTGCTGAAGAGAATAGTATTTATTCTTCTGGCAGTGCCATCCCATGTCACCAACGTATTCTTTTTCAATCCTCTCACTTGAATGACTTCTTGCACCACAGTGTTATGGTCAGTTTGGCATCCATTCTATAGTGCTTCTCACCCATATATTTTACCAGTCTATCAAAGTAAAAGGCTGAGACTCCTTTATCATTACGCCATTGAATCCCCATAACTACATTTCCATATGCTCTTGTAATTATATGGTCTAGTTTTAACATCTACTGCTCTTTCAAATTGTGTTTAGTTTCTATTTGGTGAATGGAAACAGACTTGAGAATGTTCAACAACTCCTTTGGAGGCATTCAACTTATACATGATACTTATAAAATATAACAAAAAAGCAAGATATATCCGGTCTTCCTCAAATTACTTTCACTTGACAGGAAGCTGTTTGAATTATTAGGTAACTTAACTGCTGCTCTTGTACATTTCTAATTACTAACGTGACACACAATCCAGCATGACCTCCTCAAACCCCAGATGTACTAATCATGATGAATCAAACATATGGCTTGATGGACATACTGCAATCATTGTATTTGCTTTACTGGATGGTTTTGCAATTCCAGTCAACAGAAATCATTTTGATTTACCTAGCTTGGCTGCTTTAGCTCCAAGGCCTGGCTGTGCTCCACCTGTTCAAAGAAGACAGAGTTTAGAAATGAGTCATTTTGAGGACCAAGAATAGAAATCGGACAGTAACACAGCAAAATTGTGGTCAGTGACTGATCATTTATTGCCATCCTGATCATAAAAGAAACATTCACTAGGGTATAATGTTGACTGGATGGAACAGCCATCCTATTCAGGTGATAGCTCTTTTAAAATAGCAATTAGTGTGCTATATGACAATAGGACTCCTGTTGCCATTTTTAAACCAACAGGCCTGAGATAAATAAACCTAGAATAGGCAGTCAAGAATGTTCTCCAGACAGAAACCAAGAAGGCAATAGCAGCATTTAATTATCACAGTCAATGGCGGCAGTCCAGCCCTGAGGACGCAGATGCAGCAGAAAATGTTTAATAAGTTCACAAGAATAGTCAAAGTCAGTGAATGCATGTTCACATACCATTCCTACCAACAGCACCAATGACCTCTTAACGCTTTCATTCACAGGCTCTCTTCATTTGCCACCCAACAATCACTATCTACCATAACTTATAGCTCACATTTGTAGCCTGACCTTGCCCTTACACACTTAGCACTGCTTCCAGATGGCCCATGAAAGGTGACAGCAGCAACTAACTGGTAATACTGGGGAGGCTGATAGTGAGTGAAATGTGTGGCTGCAAGTCCTCAACCCTGTGGAGCAGACTGCAGGAAACCCCAATGTCACATCACCCACATCCCACAATATATTAACATTTACAACTGGTATTAGTGCAACTATGTAACTTTTGATTTCTCCTGCCATAGAATTGAGCGAGACTGATGAAAATGAAACACATTATATAATCTGACATTAAATCTACCAGTTCAGATGCCAGCACTATTTAGTTTAGAGGATAGCATATGTATAGGATTTACATGCGATAGGGTTAGGGTTAGGGTTAGGTAAACGTGTGCCACAACCAGGCCAAAGAAAATCACATGTGCTTCTGAGTTTTACTGTAGAAAACTCAGATGAGGACTTGGAAGAAATGGTGCAAAGAAACAGTCTGATTAACATGCACATAGAAATGCTGGACTGGTTTTCATCATCAAGGAAAATGGAGGAATCTGGTTCCAGTTTGGCATCTGTTCCAATCATGATGTGGTGGCTGACTCCATGTAAGCAGTTGCAGACCTAACGATAATGCATCAAGTTTTGTGTCCAGCAAATGGCATCATGGGCAGATGGCATCCCGCAAGCAGTGCTGGGACAGATGTGGAGGTGGGTATGTTTTCTCCTCCCACCCAAACCTTTAGGAACTTTAATTATCGTGAGGCAAGACTTCTGTTCCTGTCTTGGGAGGAGCCAGGAGCAGCTGCCACTGCTACTACTGCAGTCAGTCCACAACAAAATATATCACTGGAGTTGGAAACAAAATAAGTGAGAAATGAGGTCATAGCATGCCAGCTTGGCTCGAGCAATGTGAGTGGACAAAGAAGATTGAGGTTAGTGTGAACAGGGCAGTGGAAGAGGGTAAACAAGGTGTGCTTGGAGTTTGGGTGGGGAGTGGTCTTCAATCAAAACAATAGGCCTGTATGGGTAATACTCTCCTTTTTCTTGAGTTTTGGATTATCATCAGTTTCAGTCTGCTGATCATGAAAGATCAGAAGATATGAGAAGTGGCCTTTAAGTGTTTGTAAATTGGCCACTAATGGGTCTCAACTGGCACAAATGAGTGCATAGACAGCAGGATTGGTTGTCAGTGTCTCTCAGCTTCTATAGCAGCACACGGATTAATCACTCAATGTCTGCATGCTGCAATGGAAGTTCCAACTGAGATCATGAAATCTCAACTTGGCACCATACAAGCATGGCTTGATACCTTGTAAACTCAGACTGCTGCCATCGCGGCTGCACATATCAGTGCCTGAAGGAGTTTCCAGGATCTCAAATTTAACAGTTTACTAGGCTTGCTGAGATAAAAACATTAGGGGAAGCCATTGCCCTGTGGAGTATGATCATTATATCCTCTCTAAGGATCATAGAATTTAGTCAAAAAGAGTTATGGAGATATACAGGACAGAAACAGACCGTTCAGTTCAACTCATCCATGCCGACCAGATATCCTAAATTTGCCAGCATTTGGCCCATATCCCTCTAAACCCTTCCTACTGATATACCCATTCAGATGCCTTTTAAATGTTGTAATTGTACCAGCCTCCATAACTTCCCCTCGCAGCTCATTCCATACACACACCATCCACTGCGTGAAAAAGTTGCCCCTTGGATCCTTTAATCTTTCCCCTCTCACCTAAAACCTATGCCCCAGGGAGACCAGAATTGCATACAGTATTCCAAAAGTGGCCTAACCAATGTCCTGTACAGCCATAACATGACCTCCTGTACTCAATGCACTGACCAATAAAGGCAAGCGTACCAAATGCCTTCTTCATTACCCTGACTACCTGCGACTCCACTTTCAAGGAACTATGAACCTGCACTCCAAGATCTCTTTGTTCAGCAACACTCCCCAGGACTTTAACATTAAGTCTATAAGTCCTGCCCTGATTTGCCTTTCCAAAATGCAGCACCTTAGATTTATCTAAATTAAAACTATCCGCCACTCATCAGCCCATTGGCCCATCTGATCAAGATCCTGTTGTACTCTGAGGTAACCTTCTCCGCTACCACCTACACCTCCAATTTTGGTATCATCTGCAGACTTATTAAACATACTTCCTATGTTCACATCCAAATCATTTATGTAAATGAAGAAAAGCAATGGACCTAGCACCGATCCTTGTGGCACATGGCTGGTCACAGGCCTCCAGTCTGAAAACCCGCCCTCCAATATCACCTTCTGTCTTCTGACTTTGAGCCAGTTCTATATCCAAAGGGCTAGTTCTCCCTGTTTTCCATGTGATCTAACCTTGCTAACCAAGTCTACCATGAGGAACCTTGTCCAACGCCTTACCGAAGTCCGTATAGATCATGTCCACTGCTCTGCTCTAATCAATTCTCTTTGTTACTTCTTCAAAAAACTCAATCAAGTCAGTGAGATATAATTTCCCACACTTATATCCTCACTGCTACCAATGCCAAAATGTTTCTGTTTGAAGCAGATCTTCCAAGTCCAGAGATTCTTGACTGTCTTCTGCAAAGTTGTGTGCTGTATCCCACTTGAAAACTCAACAGCTTTCCATCAACCATACTGAAGATATAGCACCATGTAAGAACAGTAAGCCAGGCAAAAGTGTCTGAAGGTAATGCACAAAGGTGAATAATGAGTTTTGCAAGCAATATTGGACATTTAGATGGATAAGCTTGATACTTAGTACGTTTTTTTGGTGGTTACTGTTTCAGAATTTTAGCTAAATGCATGCCATGACTGATGTGCTATGTCTCACAGTTAGTATGCAGTATATCTTTAAAAGACTGGCTATTCTATAACTGTACATAATAACTGTATCATAACATGAGGCCAAAGGGTATGAAAGACTCAGATTCTATCTTAAGTGGAGTAACTTAAAGCACGACATGACAAAAGTATGCTACTGTTTGTAATTAAGATGCTTAATATTAGCCCTGATACTGAGGTGCCGACATGTGTAAGACATGTACATGTCATGAGATGTAATAAATATCCATTAAGTCTTTCTGTACCACCTTACCATGATAGATGATACAATCTTACCATCATAAATAGTAACCAATGATAAAACCTACAAGAGACTGCATAAAAGCTGAAGTTGTTAGAAAAGCTCAGCAGGTCTGGCAGCATCTGTGAAGAAAAAATCAGAGTTAACGTTTCGGGTCTAGTGACCCTTCCTCCATCCCCATGTGTTCTTGGTGTAACATGTTCAAATTATCCTAGCATTATATTTTTGTTATTAAGAGTTGTTTACCCTTAAAACTGGCTGATCATCGCTAAGGCTAAAATGAGTGAATACTCTTAGGTACTTAATGCTGCCTGGCCATACCTGGATAATGATCTTTTGCAACTCTTGTAGTTGCTAATTTTTTGGAGTTGCTCTTCGGAGGAAAGGTCACCGGACCCAAAATGTTAACTCTGATTTTTTCTCCATAGATGCTGCCAGACCTGCTGAGCTTTTCCAGCAACTTGTGTTTTTGTTTCTGATTTACAGCATCCGCAGTTTTTATCTACAAGAGATTGTCTTCAGTGTATAAGAGATCACAAATTTCATGCATTGACACAATTGCACTGCGCTGACAGGGCACAAACCTATGCTGGCTTCCCAAAATCTTCTACCTGATAGATACCAACAGCAAAGGCAGCAAGTATACATAGATCTCAGTGTTGTCACAATTCATAAATTCAACCACAGACATGTTGGTGGAACAGACCACATCCGACTCAATTCAATCAGCTAAAGTTGAAGATGTTCTTAAACTGGATTTACCATTACACTTTGACCAGAGCCAGTGCAAACAGTTGCAATCAGCAACTCCAAAAAATTAGCAACTACAAGAGTTGCAAAAGATCATTATCCAGGGATGGCCTGACAGCATTAGGTACCCAAGAATATTCATTCATTTTAGCCGTAATGATCCTGGTATATCACAACAAGCCAGTTTTAAGGGTAAACAACTCTTACTAACAAAAATATAATGCTATGATAATTTGAACATGTTATATCAAGAACACATGGGGATTGAATACACAAGAAAGCTAGCACCATGAATCTGTGAAAGGCCAGAGATGAATCAGGAAATTCAATGACTTATGAATGTTTGTGAGGAACGCCAAACTTACTGACCCCAGGCAGTGGAGAGGCTCCACATCAAGATGATGCCCTATCTCCTTATTGGATGAATGTAGCAACAGACTTATTCACTGTGCATAGGGAAGAACACATTCTTGTGACAGCTCACTTTTCCAAATTTCCCTTGTTCAACACTTAGCAACATAATGAGTACATCCACATGATGACTATTATTTTCAGTTCAGTTGGAGTCTGAAAACAGTTCACAGTTTGCTGTGCTCAGTAGGGAGTCACCCATATCACATGGAGCAAGGATAGTGGGATGACAAACAGTCCAGCAGAATACATAGTATGTACTTTCAAATTAATGATCAATGTGTGTTGGACAATAAAACAAGATTTTCACATTGTAAAGTGACATTTTCTCTCAGCACCAATGGACAAAGAATTACTAACTTCGGCAAACCAATTGTCTAACCATTTCGAGACACTTACAAATGAATGAGATACATGACTAGCAAAGAAGTAGGGAATACCACAATTGCATATTAACAGAGAGAGAGAGGTAGAAATACAAATACTTGGACACCCACAAAGATTTCTAGATCATTCAAAGTCATTACTGATCACGGTGCTGCATTTTGAAGGAACAGAAGCCTGTTCAGACCAATGTACAACACACAAAACATCCACAAATAGTGTGAAGAAGAAAAATATGACAATAATGATTGTGCAGTGATGTTGATAGAGAGCAATCAGCAGCAAGAGAACTAAATTGTCAACCAAGAGCAGCCGAGCACAACACATACCTCTGCAGATCAATCTGCAATCACCAGATCAGGCTGAGTTGTCAAACATCCAAGGCATTACATTGAAATTTGAATTATTAATCTTGTAAATTCTGTTTCACATGTTTGTATGATTATCAAATTAACAACACGTGCAAATGCACAACCAGGTTGTGGAAGATGCAGCAGAGCACCATTGTTTCAGGACCCAACTGTCTGCTTGATGACTGTCCTTGCGGCAGATTAGCTCTCATTTTATGAATGCTGGTCATGTGTGATTGGATTGTGGAAGAAATCATGAGTTGGATGTCAAGTTGATAGACTTGTTCTTGAGCAGCCTCTTGCTGGAAATTTTGGGTAAAGGATTGAGGGATAGTGGCAGAAAAATTATGCATCATTAACTGTGTTTGCTGTACATCACAAAAGTGTGACGCAACACCCAAAAAATCATGTGTGCGCGGTTGGTGGTACCTGCACTAGGGGTAGACCTGTTGTCCTGGAAAATCTATGAGTTCACAATGCCTGCTTCTTCTTAGTCAGATAAAGGAGAATGAAATCCTTCTCCTTAAAAAGCCTCTAGTGGTGCACTCTCTGGTGCAGCAATGGATGAAAAACGACGAATTTTAGATAATATTCCCACAATGAAGAAAGTCAGAACTAATGTCACTAAGTGCAGTTCTTTCCCTACTTTGAGGCTGCAGGTCTGGTTCCAACAGGTAGCAGAGTTTTGCAAGCATCTCCTGATTACAGAAGAAACATTCACTGCTCCTTGCTTTTTGGAAGGTAAAAAACCTGTTTTTGGAAAGTCATAGGTGGTATTGAAGTTTCTTCTTTTCACCCTTTGCACAAAGAAAACCTTGTATTCATATTATCTGCCACTGCATTATGTCATACTGCAGACCAAGAGAATCTACTACTAAAGCACCTATGACTGGGAACAAGTGCTGTGCTCAGAGCCCTTATGTCTCGAGCAAGACTTACTACATGTCTAGTGGTATTCCCTGAACACTTAACCATCTGTAACCCATAGTGGAATTTTATGGCCTCTCTTTTGATGTGCTTGGACGTGGGAAGGTCACTCAAAATTAAGTTTGATGGTCACATGTCTGAACCTTGCCGTCTTCTCGCCTCTGTTAGAATCAAGACAGGAACTTCCTATCCCTCTGGCAACTGAAGTGACCAATTAATGATTACTTAAAAAATTCATTCCATCATTGCTGATATTAATCAAGTAGCACATGGTCTAGTGATGTGCAGAATTCACATCAAGTGAAGTTGTATGTTTGTGGTTACTGGGTGATGTTCCTCCATTCAAAGGCAATTCACACCTGATTGAGGGATATGACATTGGAAAGCAGGAAGGAGTATTGAGAACTATCTCTCTTCTATTGGGGCTGAACCCCCACAAACCCTCTCCCACAACTTCTATCCAGCAAAACCTCTCCTGTATTTCTCACCTGTGGCCTAAATCACTTCTTAATACTGAACCTCCAATTGGAGTCATTCTAGCAGCTGCCACAGAATCCCCAATGACACTGTTGTTCAAAAGAGCTACCAATCTCTTGTTAACTAGCAGCTCTTGGTAGGTGAGATTCCTGTTCACTGGGTCTTTGATCTTGGGAAAAGTCTGTCATTAGCACTACCGGCAAGTCAACACAGAGGAAACAGTGTGTGTCTCTCTCACCAGATCTCGCTAATACTTCCACAAACTCAAACAGAATTAGTAGGAAGTAACCAGCAAGTAATCTGCAATAAATGGACGACCCCTTTAAATAGTGCTGGTGGGGCTATCCTTCACATTGCTGAACACCTTTTCATTTGCTTTTTAGGAGAAGTTCTTGAATATTGTGACAATAGTGCCCATGCTAATGCCCTCATGAAGATGCCAACTGGTGGGGCTACCAGAAGTAATTGGAAGTGGTGCTAAATCAGCACCTACAGCATCAAAACCGCCAGTATCACAGAACTGCCAAAGCTTTATCCCTTAACAGTTTCAAAAATCTCCAGGTTTAATTGATGACCTCCAAGCTTCATCTCAGGCAAATCTGTAGTGACTTGATCCCTTCCTATGTAGATGCACATGGATCAGGAAACTGTACTGTCTGAATGAGATTTACAATTTTCACTTACCTAAATAAAACTTATCTCTGGATATATATCCAAATTAGTCAACCATTATGCTATTCATTGTAGCAGTAATATTGGTACCTGGTTGAGGAGTCAGTGGAGCACTGCTGGGTCGAACTCCATTAACACCTGTAATGACCATGCACATACCATTAACTCTTTGAGTTACTTTCACTCTCTGAAAACTCAGAATGTTCAGAACAACATTTAAATACATCACCCATTTAACATAAAGGTAAATCATTATTTTCAGTTAGTATTGAACCTCTAAAGTGATGTAAATGCTACTCCTTAATAATCTCATTAATTTCAGAGTAACTGTAGCACATACTGTGCTGCCAAGGCTGGTATTGTTCAGATGCTGCACACTCTCAAAGAACAAATTCAATAATCTTGCTCAAAATAGAGGTCAGTTCTTTAAAAAATATTCTTCCACTAGAAGCATCTGCTCATGGAGGTCAAAAATGTTAGGAACCTTTAACCCATGAAGAAGATGTTAGTTTGGACAGAGACAGGGAATAAAGAAAGAGACAGCAGCAGTGGAAAAATTCCTAATGCATTACAGGAAGCAGGCTGGCCTAATGTAATGGCAAGTATAGTATCCAGACAAAATCTCTACTTGTAGCTATTGGAGCTGCCCTTCAATGTCTTGGGCATAGGTGCCTATTAAGTTGAATACACTGAACACTACTCAGGCAGCCCAGTCACATTTTAGGATGATTAATTTAAATACTTTTTGTAGCTTTATGACCCTTGTGTAGTTACTGTTTGGTACTATTCTTTAGGTTGGTATCATGGAATCCGTTGAGAGTTAAGTGTTTCTGCCCACGCTCAAAGACACAGTTTATTGACACCATTATATTAATAGTTCCTTTGCCTCAATTGACCTATGCCAAACTATAAATGAACCTATGCCAAAGTAATCTAACTTAATTCTTTTTACTCTTACTTTAGCACGTAAGATTTAATCTAAACTATTCAAATTAAGTTTCATATTTTTTGCTTGACCTAATGTAACTCTAGATAATCTAAACTAATCCTAATTGAGTCTGTGGTTTTACAGTTTGACTATGAATGACTAACTTAATCAATTATTATTAATAATTATCATCTAAGTATTTATGAGAACTATATATTATATCCATATTCATCTTCCTTTTCATTATCATCAATGCTAAATCTTGCTGCAGTGAGAGAGTTCTGTTGCAAAGGTCAGTTTCCAGATTCTCACTTGGAAATTAACTCCTTCTCCATAGTAACAAAGCACAATACTTCAATGTTCTGTATAATTGTTATGCTACAATCTGAACTGAGCTTCTTTTCAAAGTTTGTGTAATGTATAGGTTTAATGTAAATTAGTCAAAACTCTGTGTTTAGTAGGAATGTGAATTGCAGAATTCAGAACTGTCATAATCATATTCACACTATTCACAAATTGTGCACCTTTCAGTTCAGTGGTGTGCTAAGAGGACATGATTGTTGAATTTGCTCTACAAATCCTGTAAAACATGAAATTTGAGGCAGCCAGTCATTCAACACACACAAAATCTGTTCTATTATGGAAGACGTTTTTGTAAATCCTCTCCTTGTTCAAAAGGAAAATACAGCCAACTCCATGCATGCAACATTTTACAGCAGAAAAGTAGGCACGTTCTATATTGAAAGAACAGTGATGGCAAAATTTTGCCTTCATAGCATAACATTTCTACATTCCATGTCACACAAACAGCTGACTAATCCTTCTAATCTTCAATCTTATTCCCACTCATATTCCACCACTACAAAAAGTGTAACAAATCAAAACATGTGACATAGAACTTGGCCAGAAACCTAAATCAACAACTTGTATTTTTATAATGCCTTTAACATAATCAAACATTATCAAGTCAGAGGACCAAATACTTTTTCAGAGGTGACCGAATATGATGTTTTCTCTAATCAAAAACACCACTCCCCATCTTCTCTTGCCTCCCCTTCTATCCTTCGTATAAAATTTGTACTCCAGAAGGTTGGGCTGCAGTCCTGTCCTTCCCTCAGCAATGTTTCTCTAATAGCTATGATATTCCAGTCTCATGTTCACATCCACGCCCGGAGTTCATCTGTCAGGCCTCTTGCATTGAAAGAAATACAGTTTAATTCATCATGTCTCCCCTTGTTCCCTCCCGTGCTCTCGTATGCCTTGTCAATTTAACTTGCTCTCTTTAATTTCTGTACAAGCCTCAACCTTCTCTCTTGTCTCAATACTGCCCACTGTCCTGCCAAACTATTTTAAGCCCTCCCGAGTAGCTCTACCAAATTTCCCACCAGCATATTGGTTCCCGTCCATTTCAGGTACAAGAGGGACAGTTTGCACAGGTCACTCCTGCTCCAGAAGAGATCTCAATGATTCATAAATCTGAATCCCTGCCCCCTGTACCAGATCCTCAGCCACTCATTCATCTATCCTATTTTTCTATTCCTACTCTCACTAGCATATGGCATTGCCAGTAATCCAGAGATTACTACCCTTGAGGTCCTGCTTTTTAACTGCCTAACTCCCTATATTCACCCTATATCCCTTTTTCTACCTATGTCGTCGGTACCAATGTGTACAACGAACTCTTGCTATTCACGCTCCCTCTTGAGAATTTGCTGCAACCAGGGAGGAAACGCACCATCCTGGAATCTCGCTTGTGCCTGTCTGTGTTCCTGACTAGAGAGTCCCCTATTACAATTGCTCCCTTGGACTCTGCCATACCCTGCTTTACAGCAGAGCCAGTTGTAGTTCCAAAGTCCTGGCTGCTGCTGCTATTTCCACCTGTGAGGCTATTCCCCAACAGTATCCAAAATGGTATACTTTTTTTGACGGGGATACCCACAGGAGACTCCTGCACTACCTCTCTTGGTGGTCACCCATCTACCTGATTATACCTGTGGTATGACCACCTCTTTGAAGCGACTATCAATCACACTCTCTACCTCTTGTATACTTTTCAGTGCTCCCAACTGCCAATCCAACCGATCCATATGGTCTGATGTGAGCTGCAGCCATGTCTTGCAGACATATTGAAAAAAAAACGTTTACAGTGTATGTCATGAATATAGTATCCAACTATTACACCATCTACTCTTTTATAAGAACAAATGGTTAGAGAGCCTCTGGTTGGATATAGTAACAAAAACACAAACTAAACAAAAATGCTAAACTAAATACAGTAAGAAAAATTAAATGGTTAATTGAAACTTATAAACTGTTACACCATCTATGTTTATCTCAAATAATTGCTTATATTAGGAAAATTACATTAACCCTTTTGTATTGTCTTACGTGCCAATTATAACTGCATTACTTAATTTGTAGTAAGCAGGCCAACTATTTCATGCATTTTAAGTTACTTTTCTGGTAACAATTACATTAATAGCTCCTTTGCCTAAATTGACCTGTGCCCAACTATAAGTTAACCTATGCCAAAGTAATCACTTAATTTTTTCTAATCTTACTATAATACTTCAGATTTAATCTAAACTATCCAAATTAAGTTTCACCTTTTTTGCCTGACCTAATTTAACTCTAGATAATCTAAACTAGCCCTAATTAAGACTGTGGTTTTACAAATGGACTATGAATAACTAATTTAATCAATCATTATTAACAAGTACCATTTAAGTACTTATTAGAAATCTATATCATGGCCATATTCATCTTTCTTTTCATTACCATTAATGCTAAATCTTGTAGAATTCTGTTGCAAAGGTCAATTTCCAGATTCTCACTTGGTAATTGACTCCTTCTCCACAGTTACAAAGCACAACACTTTAGTGTAGAGCTGGATGAACACAGCAGGCCAAGCAGCATCAGAGGAGCAGGAAGGCTGACGTTTC